GCCACAGCGCCACTTCCGGCTTTTTATTTTCTTTGGCTTATGTGGTGCTGAGGAATCGAACCCAGGGCTTCATGCATGCAAGGCAAGCGCTCTACCACTGAGCCACCTTTCCCAGCCCCTCAAAGTTTTTTAAAAGCCAGGCACCAGTGGCTCACACCTGTAATCCTAGCTACTCAGAAAGCTGAGATCTGAGGATCACAGTTCAAAGCCAGCTCAGGCAAAGTCCGTAAGACTCTTATCTCCAATTAACTACCAAAAACAAAGCCAGAGTGAAGCTGTGGCTCAAGTGGTAGAGCACTAGCCTTCAGCAAAAACGTTCAGGGACAGTGCTCAGGTATTAAATTCAAGCCCAAGCCCAAACAAACAAACCTGGTAAATTCTGAGAGGAGGGGAGGGGAGGGGAGGGGAGGGGAGGGGAGGAGAGGAGAGGAGAGGAGAGGAGAGGAGAGGGGAGGGGAGGAGAGGAGACACAGGACAAAAGCACACACGTCTGGGAGAGCAGATGGGCTCTGACTTGACTGATTTCAGCTCAGCAATCCAAGCTCATAGGCAATGGGTGGCAGTGAAGGGTAGCTAAGAGGTCAAGAGGTCAGAGCTAGCAGGGGTCAAAGATATTAAAAGCTTTTATTTTTTTTTTTAAAATTGTACTGGGGTTTGAACTTAGGGCTTTGTACTTTTTAGTGGCTGAGCTACACCTCTAGCCCCAAAAGCCAATTACTTCTTTAGTCCCTGGCTCAGGTCTTTCAGAACCAAGGACAGATATTTATTCTATGGTACACAATGTGATGAAAAACAAAATTACATCATGTCCCTGCGCTGCTTCACACACTGCAGATGTAGTACTGTGACTCAAGTGGTAGAGTGCTAGTCTTGAGCACAGAGCAGCTCAGGGATAGTGCCTAGGCCGAGTTCAAGCCCCAGGACTGGCTAAGAAAAAAGAAAAAAAAAGTCACAATGTGTACTTGTGTACCCAACTTGAACTTGCGTGCCCTGTTACATAAACTATCCTCCACTCAGGGACACAGTCTCTCCAACTGCACTTCACTTAGCAATTTTTTGTTTTCAATGTGGAGGTAGAAGAGCCCAGGCCACTGGGCTCAAGAAGGCAGAGCTGTATATATCAGATGACCATGGGGGAGGTCAGAATGTTCCCTAGAAACTGGGGCCGAATCCTCCTGTTTCATGAGGTCTGGGACCCTCTCTGCCCCAACCCCCAACAACCAGGACTGAGGCTGAATCACAGCCGGCTAGGTGACTTGCACAAACAAGCCATGACCCTCCCTCCACCACTGGATCTTACAGCCAGAAGGCCACAGTGACTGCTCTGGGCATACACTACAGAGAAAGCAAGAAGGCTGAGCACTGGTGGCACACATTTGGAATCCTTGCTACTCAGAAGGCTGAGATCCGACGATCGCAGTTCGAAGCCAACAGGAAAAGTCCATGAGACTCCTCTTACCTCCAATTAACCACCAGAAAACCAGAAGTGGAGCTGTGGTTCAAAATGATAGGGCAGTAGCCTTAAGCAAAAGGAACTCAGAGACGCTCCCCCTCCCGCCCCCCCCCAAAAAAAACCCCAAAAAGAAAAAAGCAAGAGGTTGCATCTTTTTCATTCATTCTTTATTTACAGCAAAGTACAGAGTATGTGATCTTATTTTGTTTGGAAGTGCTAACAATAAAGGTATGGTAGTAAAAAGCAGAAGCAGAAGAGCAAGCATCTTGAAAGGAAAGAAAAGCCCAAGTGTTTACTTAGCTGCTTGACTTGGTTCCTGTGCAGGCCTGGCTGCGCACTCACTTCCTCTAGATGACGAGACCCCCATTTCCTGCATCTGCCACCAGGAGGGCACAGAACACCCAGAGACAGAAAGTGTGAAAGGGGTCTTCAAGCTTCAGAGCAGTCCCAATCATGCCCTTTGCAACCTGTCTTCTTCCTTGTCTTGTCTGATGTCAGTAAGCTTCCTCCATTCTGCCTGGAGCCAAGTGCGAAGGGGAAAGGAGGTAGAGAAGGCCCACTGGTCCTTCCATGTGTATTGTCCTATCTGTCAGGACCAACCCCCAGCCTCAACCATAACAGCCCTTTCATTCCCTAGCACTGGAATCTTTGACAAGCACACATGAGACTCGGGGCAGTGGAAAACATTTCCCTGCAGAAATACTTCTGTCTTGGGTACTATCATGGATCAAGCTAATTCAAGGGCTGCTAGAAGGCAGGTAATAATACCAACCAACCAACTCAAGCCAACCAGACTTGTGCATCTCCACTTCCTGGTTGCTCTGAGGAGCACACAAGCCTCCAGACCCAGTGGCCTTATAGGGACAGGATCCAGTTCCAAGCCAGGGCGAGGCTGGAACCAACCTCCTCTTGATCATGAAGCAGCCTCGATCAGAAGTATTAGTTCCAAGAACATGTGAGCTTGGAGACTCCTCCCTTTGGCCTAGTCTGTACATATCCCTCAGTGTAACCCACTACACTACCTCCCCAGGCCCTGCCCGTCCACCTTCCATCTTTGCTCATTCTAGCTTCAGACTGCCTGAGAATGGAACACTTGGATCAGAAGTTGTTGCATTGTGTAAGTGTGAGGCCAGTCTTCTCATGACGAACACTTGGACCATAGACAAGTGAGCAGGGAGGGGAAAGGAGCACCACTGGGTGGCTCTGAAGCCAAGGAATTCCTGTGCACACGTGACTACTTCACCCCCTGCTGAGCTCATCTGTGCCCCACCTCCACCCCGATAGCTCAGTGCCCCAGAGACAACGGTCATGATTTCTGCCCAAATAATTCTACCCCTGCCTCTCCAGTGGCATCGGAGATCCAGAGGCTCTTGAAAGTCAGATCACATTGTAAGAAAGTTCAAACACAGATACACAAGTGGCTAAATCCTAGTTTGCCACAAAAAGGTAGAGTCTCCCATCTACTCCCCTGTCCCAGACACAGTGTATCACAGTACCCAGGGCATCACTGCATCCAGGGTCCGACACCACAGACCCTGAACACTGCCCAAGAACCCTTGCCAAGCTGTCAAGAACTAGTGATGATTTCCCCAAGGGTAGGGGCAGAACAGCTGGAAGCTGTGTCCTAACTTGGAGGGGGCGCTGCTCAGAGATCCTGGAGGCTTGGTCCCAACACCACAGGTAGATGAGGAAGCGGATAAGTAAGTAGAGGCTCAGAGATGAAAAGAATCCATCTTCCAAGGCAGTGGGATAGACAGCCAAGGCACTAAATGGTTTGGCACCTGGGAGCTTCAAGTATAGTTAAGCATGCTACCCACTGAAAGGCCAAGGCTCTCCTGGGTAGGGAGATGGGCTTCACCTGAGCACAGGGAAGGCCAAGGACCCTATGTCCTCAGGATCCTAACCCAGGCCTGCCCTCCACCCTTAATCTCAGAACTGTACAGGCATGACCATGAAGATGACAGAGACAGGTCCTGAACCACACCCTGCTGAGAAATGGCTTTCAACACAGGTGTCCTCCTCTTCTCCCCACCAAATCTTCCTTCGCTGTCATCATGGGGACACCCCTGCAGAGCCTGTGCCATGGCTTCCTGGCATCCTGGGTGGCAAATCTCTCGAATACCAGGGCTGACTGTGTGAGTTAGCAAAAACGTATTTGGAGACAAACCAGACCCATAAAAGAGAAATCCAGCTGCATGGCAAGTCTGAGAGGGAAACTGTTGTGATGGAACAGTGACAGGTCTCATTCACTCACATGGCTCAAGTGGGCTCTGAAAAGCACACAGGAGAGCAGTTCTCCAGCGTTCCAGCCACCACAGCCACAGTGACAGAACTGCAAGTGGGACTTGCCAAGTGCTAGGATGGTCACGACAGACATGACAATCTCTGGCTCTTCCCCAGCAAGACACTTAGACTTGGGGGGGGGGGGGGGGGGCGCGGGGGCAAGGGGAGAGGGAGAATCTCATCTGCCCTGTCTCTCACTTGGTCCTTCAGTTCCTCCAGCCCTCCACCAACATTCTAGGAGTTTGAGCTTCCTCTAGACAAGGAGTTTCCACTATGAGGAAGTTCCATGTCTAGTTGAGTGTTTTCTACCCATGATTCTAACTCAGGTAGCCATGATTTAATATCTTCCTTTTAAATACTTTGTTTCGGCCTGTCCCTTGTGACCTGGCAGCAGCCATATTCGTGTAATGATACTATAGTTAAAGAAATGGCCCTGGCCCTGCTGCTGTGAGGAAGAATGCTAGGGTGACAGGTGTACACTGGCATTTCCACACCACAGGGGAGTAACACCTACTGTCCCTCCATGAGAAGAACTCCCTGGCAATGCCATGAGCGGATGCTAGCAGTCCTTTGGTCCGTTACAGAGATCCTCAACCATAGCCCGGACAGTGAAGGACAACTCTGTTCCCCAATGAAGCTCACAGGGGTTTCCTTGGAAGGCGCAGGACCAGAGCTTCAGATACTCCAACAGGCAGTACCTCATTCTTTTTGAGTTAGGAAAATGACTCCTCAAAAAAAATACATCCCCAAGGGCAGCTCTGGATTTCTGGACTCAGAAGAGGCAGGATTAAGGAGTCTAAGCCATCCAAACAACCCAAGTCGGATGAAGTAGCGCAAGAAGAATTGCAGACTTGCTCTCCTCAGTGGGCCTCTTCCCTGAGTTTGATTTGAGTTGAGATCTTACCTAATGTCAACCCAAAAAAAGAAAGCAAGAGTATCTCTCATCCACACATGAAGCAGCTCTATCTAGCTCCAAGGAGGCAACATGGGATGGGAGGCAACTGAGGGCTTCTAATCCCATTCCCATCAAGCCCCCGGGAACTGACAGTCATGGAACATCAGCTGCCCTCTTCCACTCCCTGTCTCTCCAGATGCCTGAGCTGGGCCCCCAATGGAGCACAGGAGCCACTCATCTCAGTGGACCTCCAAATCTGGGCCCAACATACAAGCGCAGGCCCCTGCTGAATACTTACGGCAAACAGCTTTACAGTATTTGTACATTTACACAAAAATAGATCCTTTTATATATATATATATATATGTATATATATATGTATGTATGTGTGTGTGTATGTATTTATAACTGGTTACACGTTGGATTCATAATTAGGCATCACCAGTAGTAGTTGGCACGGTCCATCATTAAGCTCAGGGTTAAGTTCTGTTTGATTCGCTGTTCAAAAGTACAAAAAGGGGGTTTGGAAATCAAGGCATTTCATCTCTGGTGTTTTCTTAAATACGGTCATGTCATAGGAAAAGGTATGTACAGATGAATGATGCCTTCTGGCCCCTCCTGTTTCTTGGAGCTAAGGGCTGGGGTCGGAAGAAGACAAGGGTCAATGTGGCCGGCTGCTGGACTCTGATGCCTGCCTCTTGCGTGAAGGGGTGTAGCCGTTGAGACAGCCATTGGTCTGCCGCTTGGAGAGCCCTCCGTTGAGGATGTCCTGGATATGCTGCACAATGAGGTTGATGGCCACTGTGGGACAGAGACCAGCAGCGTTAGGGTACAAAGGGAGGGGTAGGGACACACATGCAGGGCTGTGAGCACAGAAGTCAAGTACACAGGAACCAGAGACAGACATCTCCTGGGAAGTAGCCACTCCTCAAGGGCAAGACATACACCATCCCTGTGCCTGGGGCTGGGCTAATACAATCTCCCTTGTGGAAGGACTCTTAACAAGTAATGCTTAATTAATGGGCATCCTGCCAAGAGACTATCAACCAGAATTCCCATTGGATAAAGCAATCAACCAAAACCCTATAGATGACCAGCTATGGTTGTGACACCACTCTAAGGAACCTACCAGCTCATTTCAAAATGGGAAGCCTCATCATGCAAGGCCCTCTCCTCCCACAAAAAGTTCAAAGTAGGGCTGCTTTATAAAAGCATCATCAGGGGCTGGGAAGTTGGCTCAGTGGTAGAGCGCTTGCCTTGCATGCCTGAGGCCCTGGGTTCGATTCCTCAGCACCACATAAGCAAAAAGAAAAAAGCCAGAAGTGGTGCTGTGGCTCAAGTGGTAGAGCGCTAGCCTTGAGCTGAAGAGCTGAGGGACAGTGCCCAGGCCCAGAGTTCAGGTCCCATGACCGGACCAAAAAAATAAAATAAAATAAAAGCATAATCAGGGGCTAGGAAGGTGGCTCAGTTGTAGAGCACTTGCCTTGCATGCCTGAGGCCCTGGGTTCGATTCCTCAGCACCACATAAGCAAAAAGAAAAAAGCCGGAAGTGGCGCTGTGGCTCAAGTGGTAGAGCGCTAGCCTTGAGCTGAAGAGCTGAGGGACAGTGCCCAGACCCAGAGGTCAGGCCCCACGACTGGACGCCCCCCCCCCCAAAAAAAAAAAACATCATCAGAAATTAACTATATACCTCAATCAACTGACCAATGTTCACATCACCAACTATGGAACAAACACCAAGTGCTTTCAGATATAATAAACAAAGACACAGCACAGTATTGCTCCTGTGGCATTATATACCCAAAATTGTATGACCTGAATCTGATCACTAGGATATAAGGGGCAGATCTAAAGTAAGGGTCACCAACCAACAATAGACCTGTGCTCTCAAAAGTATCTCTATCAGCTGGGCACTGGTGCCTCATACCTGTAATGCTAGCTATTCCTGAGGCTTAAATCAAGGTTCAAAGCCAGCCAGAACAGGAATGTCTGTGAGAGTCTTAGACCCAGTTAAGCACCAAAAAAGCCATGAACAGAGCTGTGGCTCAATACATGGTAGAGGGTTAACCTTGAGAAAAAAGTTCGGGGACATGGTCAGGAATGTAGCTTAGTGGTAGAGTGCTTGCTTAGCATGCATGAAGCCTGGGTTTGATTCCTCAGTACCACATAAACAAAAAATAAGTAAGAAAAATAAAATTAAAAGAAAAAACAAATGTCAGACAGTGTCTAGACCCTGAGTTCAAGCCCCAGGACCAGTGCATCCAAAAAAACATGGTGAAATAGTTATCACTGTGAGAACTCAGAAATCCCTTTTCTTTTTTTCCTTTTCTTGCTGTTTCTGGGGTTGCACTCAAGGTTTGGGCACTGTCCTTGAGCTTTTTTCTGCTCAAGGCTATCAAGCCACAGCTCTACTTCCAACTTCTTGGTGATTAATTCTCCAAACCGTTCTCAGATCTCATCTGCCTAGGATTACAGACAAACCACCAGCAATACCCTTTTCTTAAAAGGAAGAAATATGAAATGAATTATATGAAGAATAAAAAGACAAGATCCAGTCTCATCTTACAGATCAACTCTGCCACATTACATCAGGAAGTTTGGAAACACTTGCCAGACCAGCCAAAACACATAAATGCCTACAACCAACCAGTTCCTTTTCAGGATCTACCATGTTGGCAGATTATAAGGAAGAATTCCACTTTTGCTGAAGAGCATGATGAAAACAAGGTACTCAAATGTTATTGATGACTCAAATGTTATCTGAAGACAGTCTGTAACCGTCTCTCGGTATGAGAGAATTGTTCTGTGCCAGCATTTACAGGTGCCTAGACACCTCTCCCCAATATCAGAGATGCAGGTAGGAATGCTTCTCTGACTCAGACACAGACTACAGATCTCTGTTCGGTCACATCCTGCCCAAACTAACACTGACAAAGGCCAAAAGTTTCCCTCCACAAGAGATATCCAAATGGGACTCACCAAGATTGTCTGCACCTCTTGGAATGATCACATCAGCGTATTTCTTTGTCTGGAAAAAAGATAATTATAATACATTAATAGAGGAACTCAGAAAAAAACTGTTCCAAGGCTGCCTCAAAGGGATATGAGGGAGGATGCGACTCAGGCACAGCTCAAGGTTTTGAGTGTAATATTGTTTACAATGTCGTGGGAAAGAGTCTCAAAATGCGGGAAGCCCAAGAAGGAAAGTGGTTTGTTTACAGGGATGTGAATGGAAGAAGGGAGACTGAATGAAATGAGGAAAGAGGACTTTTATGTGACAGTGAAGGGAAGGGGGTTGCTCCACTGAGCACTTTGTCCACAACCAATTTGCAACTCAATTCTGAATTAAGTACCCAGAACTCTACTTTATCCAGATTATAATAAAGCAGTTTGAGTTCTTGTTATTAATGCTTAATCTACACAGAAAATATCCAAAACCAAACATATGTGTCCAACATTAGGGAAAACGAGTTTAAAAAAACTCAAACTCTAGAGAATGCTGAAGGGATAAGATTAATCAACATGTATTGTGTTCATAAATGCTTTGTTGAATGGCAATTCCTTTGTACAACTACTTAAATAAAGTTGTTTTTTTAAATAAATCTTAAAAATGAAAAGAAATTTGAGATCCATGCTCAGGGCCAGTGGCTCACTCCTTGTAGTCCTAGCTACTCAGGAGGCTAAAATATGAAAATTACAGTTCAAAGCCAGTCCAGCTCAAGGCTAGCAGTCTACCACTTCAGCCAAGGTGCTACTTTCTTTCGGCTTTTCCCGCTTCTGTGCTGCTGAGGAATCAAACCGAAGACCTCATGCATGCATGTGGCTCTACCACTGAGCCACCTTCCCAGTCCCAGGCAGAAAAGGTCTGAAAGACTCTTTATTTAATTATCACAAAAAGCCAGAAGTGGAGCTAAGGCTCAAACAGCAGAATACTAGACTTGAGCAAAAAAAGCTCAAGGACAGTGCCCAGGCCCTGAGTTTAAGTCCCAGGACTGACTTTTCAGTCTGCAAATTGACACAGTCCCTCCAAGCCCAGGGATAAAGACAGAAAAAATAATCCCTACTGATAACTACTTTCCTGGACTCTATTATTACAATATTTAAAAATAGTAAAAACCATAATTAGACATATTCTATAGTTTCTGTTTTTGCATTGCTTGTTTCCATTTCTGTGGACCCTTCTACAAATAACTACATCCTGATTCTGACTTGAGTTTAGCCTACCACCACCTGTATAACCAACCTACAAATCTAGTATATGTGAGCATCTGTACGACAAGCACCCCAGCTTGACTTCTGGGAACATTTATTAGGTCCCATTTCCTGGTTTTCATGGGACTGAGCAGGTCTTCATTCAGCCAAGAGTGGCTGGACAGTGGGAAACATCAAAAAAAGGCCAAGAAAACAATTGCCTGAGTTTCAGCACCATTAACGGCTTAGGGAATGACCAGTTAACTCTGACCCAATGAAACATTCACTTCTTGTTCTTAATAGGAAGTTTTCAAAGGAGCAGGAAGGACCTCAGATAGGTAAATAGACAAAGGATTTCACAGTTCCCAGCTTCCGTTTTCCTCTTAGCAGGAACCTAATCTTGTAACCTAATTCTTGCCAGGGCAGTGAAAAGGGTAGTAAGGCTACTCAGGCAAAGTATACTTGGCCTTGAATGGAAACAGAAAGTGTAGTTGGACAAACACCTTCTAACAGACATCTTATTCAGAAGAGAATGGCAGGCATTCAATATTAGCATGAAGAGAGAAGTTCCCATAGCCAGTCTTACCCTAAACCTATTCTCAAGGCCTTCTTGAATTCCAGTGCCAAAGCCAGGTGAAGTTCCAGCCTCCTCCTTCCTTCATTCTCTTCCTTCCCTCTTTTCCACCCTCACTTTCTTAAATATAAATAATTGAGATGTCAGACTACGGTTTGGCCAAGCTGGGGAAGACAGGATAACTCACAGGCATGGTTCTCCTGAGTTAAATACTTATCCTACCCAAATTAGGCCATATTCCATGCCTTTTCCTACACAGTCCCACTCTGGTGGCTTCCCTCCTCAGGAGGAAGGGGAAGTGTATGTATTATTGGCTGAGGACTGTTGGACCAAAAGAAGAGACTTGGATCTCTTTCCCCACTTCATTCTCTGAAAACCATTTCACTAGATAACCCCAGCTGCCTCTGGAGACAGTTGATAGCATGGCCTGGGTGAAAATAGGGACAATTGTTTGGGTATAACACAGCATTTCCAAAATGGGGCTAACCAAGGAGCCAAGAAGAAGTTGCAAAGCTCTGTGGCAGATCCAAGCATCCCTGTACCAGCACTCCACCCTCCTAAACCTTCTGAGGACCTAATCAGGGACATGGCATGGCTTGGCATGGCATGGCCAGGACACCATCAAGCAAGAAATGCGGCTCTAGCTAAAAATTACATAGCCAGCCAAAGCAAAGCATGTCTCTAAAGGACTACTAGAAGAATGAACGGCAGAACAGAACTCCAAGTACCCAGGTTGCCCTCTTAGGACAGGAGGGCAGTCAGAGAGAAGAGTCCCTGGCAACTTAAAAACTTAGGTCAATCATTACATTTTAAGTTCTAAGCTGGAAGTGTGGCTCAAGTGATCAAAAGACTTGCCTAGTGAGCACAAGACCCTGTATTCCAACTCCAACACTGCCCCCACCACCACCAAAAAGAAAGTCAAACCCTAAAAAGGAGGAAAACATTTTTTAAGTTCTCCATTCAGCAAAAACAAATCAAGAACACAACTCACTGGCAAGCAGAATTCCTCAAAGGCAGGCTTGACGAATGTAATATACTGAGACAGAATCTGTTCCAGGTCCCTCCCTCTTTCGCTGATGTCCCTTAACACTATAAGAGAAAAGGAAAGACAAGAATCAAAAAAAAAAAGGTTCAAGAGCCAGCAGCACCAACCTGCCCTTGCTGGGGATCCGGGCTCTTGGGCTCTCGCAGGCTGACAGTCACTGGATCATTCACAAGGCGGACTCCAGGTGGATTTGACCCAGTACAGTCAACAGAAGCTCCAACAAAAACAAATCACTTTGTTTGTTTGTTTGTTTGTTTTGGTGCTATCCCTGAGGCTTGAACTCAGGGCCTAGGCTCAGTCCCTGAGCTTCTTTTGTTCAAGGCCAGCATTCTACCACTTAAACCACAGTGCCACTTCCTAAATTGGCTTCAAAACTCAATCCTCAGATCTCAGCCTCCTGAGTACCTAGGATTACAGGAATAAACCACCTGTACCCATCTAACAATTCAGTTTTGTTAGGACCAAGCATCAAATTCTGTCACAAAATGCTCTCTAATGTTAGACTGACCAACCAAGGTCTTCTCATCCCAAGCAGCATTTTGAATTTCAGTGTGAATGAGCAAAGAGCAGGGTAGTCCGGAGAGCTCATGGTAGCTGAAAGCAGTCTGGCCTAGAGAGGTGATGGGCTTTACCCAGCCCCTGTGCACTCACCTGTCTAGTGGGTCAGCTCATTGGCCAGTGCCCCAGTACTCTCCTGGGGCAGGGAGGGCAGGTTGAAGGTCAGTGGGGAGCAGGGGGTGGGGAGGACTTTAATGAGAAAATCACACATCAGGAAGAGCCCAAGTGGCCCCAGGCTTTCCACCTTCTATCATCTACCATCTCTGCCAGATCAGTTCTAATAAGGGACTCAAACACTGGAAAGGGAGTGGGAACTGCATACCTGACACTATTTATTAGCCCCCCAGGCTCCATCTCCCTTCAGCAGTGGCCTGGGAAGGCATTCCTCTCATGCAACACAGAGGTCCCTGAAGCTGTCTCATTACATCTTATTACCAAACTGCTGACCCCTCACTCTCAACCTTAAAGGTGACCATATCTACTCACAACCTGGGTTCTGGCCCCTTGGCTCCTTCCCAATCATTTCTCAGAAACGGACAGTATACAAATGTTGGGGCTTCTCTGTGAGTTTCTGGAAAGCTGTTTCTAAATAACTGTATTCTCACTAAGCACCAATGGCTCATACCTACAATCTTAGTTACTCATCGGTCTGAGATATGAGGACTGCAGTTTGAAATCAGACTGGGCAGCAAAGTCCAATGAGACTCTTAATATCCAACTAAGCAGAAAAAAAGCTGGAAGTGGAGCTGTTGCTAAAGGGGTAGAGCTCCAGCCTTGATTGAAAAGACTAAGGGATAGATCATGCCCCACCTTACCCTACAGACCTGTAGATATAGACAGACAGAAACACACACACACACACACATACACACACACACACACACACACACACACACAAATCTGAAGAAAGGAAGAACATTATAGTTATGATTTAGATAAACATGACCACTCTAAGACCAGAAGGGAGAAAACTCAGCAAGACCTAAGAGCTAGGTACCAATGCTACCACTCCCTGATCTTTATGCCAGCTTCTCAATTTACAAAGTGCTTTCCACATGAGCCCTGGTAATGAAAAATGGTTGGTTCCAAGACTTACACAGTCTCCTGCTGCGAGGGCTTGGCTTTCCCTAGCATTACCACACAGGTCTCTGGCTCCTCCTTCCCCACAGACCTGCTCTGGAGCCTCAGCCAGGAAGGAGCCCTGGGGAGCTGCGACGTGGCTTGCCTCCATACATTCTTAGTGCTCTAGTACATATAGGGGCCAAACTACACAGCCAGGATGGCCTCCTGATAAAACCTCAAGAAAAAGAAAAACAGATCAAAAGGATATCTGAGCTGGAGGAAAAACACACACTGGGCAGCTTTTACTGTCTTGTCTACGCCTGGGACCAGATTTGCTTCACAGCATGTGCCACTGGCTTCCTCACCTAACACCAGGTCATTTTCCTTATACTCTTTCATGTGGCCCACTGACCTCTACTGGCCTCAGGCGGAGTTTCTGCCTTGCAGACCAGTAAGTAACCTGTTACATTGGAGAAGCAAACTTGCAGAAAGCTACAGTCACAGCAAATCTGCTCTACAGTCCAAAGGCCATTTCTTATAATGCTATCTACGGTTAGGGCCTAGGGTGAAACTGACCTGGATTTGAATCCTAATCCCAGTAACTCCTACTCCGGTGAATATGGACAGGCAAATGACTTATCCACTTTGAATTTCCATTTCCTCAAAACAGAGAAAATGCCTTCCTCATAAGGTTATTCTCTAGGAAAATAGGAAGGTGCAAATACTCTTCTGCCCACCCACTGATATATATGTTCAATAAACCTGCACTGTCATGATTCCTGTGATGGCAAAGCCCTAGGAGGCTCTAGGAAAGCAATGTCTCCTGCCAGGCAGACCCATGTGGCAGAGGGCAGGAAACTATAGACCCAGGTAAGAAAGAGGAGTCTTCCAGAACACTGGTACGTGAGGTGCTCTGCAGGAGGGACTAACAGGAATCCAGCACCTTAAAAGCCATCGTGAGGAGGAGAAACAGGGAAAAGGGAAAAACCACACCAAACCAAAGGACATGGGCCCCAAAGTGGTCCATCAGAAACATAACAATTAGAAGGCACTGGTATCTCTTCTCCAAGAGCCTTTGAGAGAGCTGCCACCTTAAACAGCCTGGGACCACTCCCTCAGCCCAGTACAATCCCAGCCAGCTAGCATCCTCCTCCATGGGCACAAATTAAGAGAACTCCAAGGATTCAAAGCTAACTCTCCCTTCCTCCCCATGACCCACGCACATTTTCTGGCCAGGATGCCACAAATCTATCTGCATATACCCTGTTCGGCCTTTCATCTAAGCCTTTCCAAATCTACAAATGTTCTTTCTTGGCAGTGGAAGCCAAAAGCAAAATTTAAAGGGACCCACAGTAAGGATGATTCCCCAGTGATTGTCACCTTACTTGGATAAAACAACTTGTTGAGATATAGTTAAAGAACAGAATGAACAAACTGATCAGTACTGCAGCGGTAACTAACAACGTGACCTGGTATAGGGTGTGATGCAGGGGAGAAACAAGGAGTCAGCAGCCCTAAGCCCCTGGGTCTCCTTCCTCACTGTCCCAGAATTCAAGGGTAGACAAGGGTAGAGAGTGCAGAGAGAAAGTTGTGCCTAAATAGGGAGCTCCCGGGAAAACACTTTATCCTATCAGGGCTATCTGACTCAAGACAAATTCTTCCCCCATCAGAGGGTCACCTTGGGATCTAAAGGTTCAATGCCCAGGAGAATGAGACAAACCCTTGGGCAAAATCATCAAGCTAGATTTCCAGAAATGTCCTCCAGCTCTAACAGCTGTTCCTGACTCACTCAGCCCTCCCTAGCTCTGCACCAGGCCCACACCCCACCCAACACATGCCAAGCATGTTGTTTGTCCCACATGAAGAGAGGATATACAGTTGTAGAAATAGTATGTAGAAAAGTCCCTAAGACTACCTGGAAAGTGACTCAAGAGCAAGTGACTTGTAAAGGCAGCAGATCTGAAAGGAGGCAGCAATAAACCTATGCAGGCAGCCTGGGGTTGGCAGAACTGGCCCCAATCCTAGGGTTGGGAGTGGTGCAAATCTCTCAGGGGGGTTCCCTCATTTAATATAATAAGCCCAGGCCAAGAAAGGAAGAAAGAATGTTCTGTTTATTTAGAACATTATTAGATGTCAACTCTCTTTTCCAACAACTTTGATCCTACTCTAAGCCTGGTTATAATTCCCTACGTATCATCTTGTATGGACTGCCTCCTGCCAGTCTAGTGCTGGTTTCAGCCCAAAGACATGGTCTGAGGACATAGCCCAGCCAGATCCATTCAGAGGCCCTGACAGCCCACAGAGACAGAAAGGCACCAGCCTCTAGATCAGAAGCTGATTACTGATCCACCATGTAGGTATTTGCTAACTAATGAATCTCCAGGCTCTTCTCTAACCTTTTTCTAGTCTTAATAACCAACCCAGAAGTATTCAATGTTAGACGACTAACAGGCATTTTTAAGAACTAACCAGGAAATATTAAATGTTAGATGACTATAGACTAATACTAATAATAGACAAAGTATAAAGAGGTAAAGACACAATTTACCTAAAGCTACATATCTGAAGTGTTGTAAAACTAGGATCTCAGCCCATCTCATCTGAATCCAAAAACAAACAAGAATTTTTTGGTTGGTTCTGGGGCTTGATCTCAGGACCTAGCACCATCCTTACGCTTTTTTGCTCAAGGCTAGCACTCTATCACTTAGAGCCACAGCTCCAATTCTGGTTTTGGGATGGTTACATGGAGTCTCATGGACTTTCTTGTCCAGGCTGACTTTGAAGTGAAGTTCTCAGATCTCAGCCTCCTAAGGTGCTAGAATTACAGACATGAACCACCAGCACCTGGCTGAATCCATAATTTATTTCTCTCAATGCATCTTTCTACTTCCCTAATTTGGTACCTAACAGTGATATCAAGCACTCAAGCAAGGAAAAACCCCAAATGACTTGTAGATATAATGATAAGCCAGGATCTGGGGTAGAAGCAGCATAGGTGTAGGTATTAAGATTTCAATTATCTGCCAAAAGAGACTAGCCCAGGCCAAAGTCAAGATACTAAAAAACAAACCTGTCTCATAGTCCCTACAAAGAAATCCAAGCCTGAATGTCCCAAGAACATTACAAAGTCAGACAGACACTAGAGGCTAGGCTGGGCCAAAAACACTGGCCTCTTATTTTCATCCCTTTCCCATCACACTTGTGTATCATCTAGTGTGAATCCTACTGACCTAAAAAGAGTGTGGACAGCCAGACACTGGAGCTCCTACCAGTAATCCTAGCTAACTAACTCAGGAGGAAAAGATAGGAGGGTAGCGACTCAAACTCGGCCCAGGCAGATAAACCAGAAAGGCTCTTATCTCCTAAAAAGCCAGAATGGTTGTGTGGCTCAAACAGTACAATGATAGAGTGGAGCAAAAGTTAGGCAATGTTGTTGCTAGCCTCCTGCGTTCAAGCCTCAGTACCAACATGCACGCGTGCATGCATGCACACATGTGTGCACATACACATACATACATCCATACAAACACACACATAAAGTGTCACTTCTTAGGAAGGCAAAAACCAGATGTACTTTTCTATAATCTACACGTTCCATTAACAGCTCTTATACTGATATTGCTAAACTGAATAAACTCAAGATTTGTTTCATGGACCAAGGAGAAAAAAAATTACATAGATTGAAAAAAAAAAAAAAAAATGACAGACCTTGAGAACAGAAGGCTCTGGCTTGGAGCTTACAAAATGTGTATCTGCCAATAATTGGCTCTGTGGCTAGGAGCTAACCTCACCATTTCTTATGACTCTCCCTGTTTCACACAACAGAGACTCAAACATCAGTCACCTCTCTTTCCCCTTTCCTGGCACCACCATCCTTCTGCCTTTGTTGAGCCCCGGTCAGTTCTAACTGCTGATACCTTCCTCACCTCACCCCAACCCTTCACCCCCTCCGTCCCACCTAAAAGTGCAACCGCCCACCTCTAGTCCAGGTCCATATGGTTTCCAAATGGTCTCCCTGTCTAGTCTCTCTTTCAACTTGGGCCTGAGCTAGCTACATCCCAAATCTCTACAGCCTTCTGTGTCCTCCAGCTACCTGCCATTTTCATGGGGAGCACGCAGTCCCTTGGGTACTTTGGCACTGCTGGACCCCACTTCTATGTTCTGACCTCTTCCTTCCCCTAAGTCTCCTGTATCTCCCAGTAGAAGTGAACTCCTTAGTGTCCTGCACAGCTCACACCTGCAGTGGGCCTGTGGGCTCTGCACATCACAGGTGCATATTGGGTTAAGACCATGGGGACTCTGTTTTGGGCTGCCTGTAGAGAATGACACCACACAGGGGAAGCAGGTGGAGGACAAACCACCCCAGTGCTGCAGTTACACACAGAGGCTTCTGTCCCCAGATCTCCTACAGTTGGCCTCCAGTCAAGACATCTTGATGCCTTGTATGTAAGAAAACCATAAGAAACTGGGGTTTTCCCAGCCAAATCAGAATGTCAACTTCTTATTTCACTTTAGTGACCTCACAGGTCTTTCATATCCAAAATAGTTAAGTGACTAATCCCTTCTCATATGTCACCAAACATTTATTTGGGCAACAGGATGTCCTGGAACTGAACTGGCACGGCCAGGTTGGATGACACCACCACAGAGTTGTCTCATGAAGGCCCAGGCTTGAGTCTCAGTAAGGGCTGTCTCTGTTGCAGGCATCCAGCTTCCTTCTCCCAAGGCAGCTACCACCAAGGCCATTGGAGACTTTCAGAACGCACCTCTTCGGGAAAGCCGGGTGTCCGCATCTGTATCTACAAAAAGCTTCATCTGGAAGAGGTCTCGAACCTCCTGGGAGTAGAAGGCCAGGATCCCTTCAAAGAGCACCACGTCTGCAGGGTAAATAGTGACCGTCTCCTCTTTCCTGCAAAGCAAAGGGCAGGTAATGGGCCGGCCAGCAGGGTGAGCAATAAGACATGAGCCAGAGCTCGTGCTGGACTGCAGCTGCTGGGATCCTCTTCCCCAAAGTGAGAATGGGGACCAGGGGCTTGGCCCTCAGCCTCACAGAGACCTCAGACCACCACCAAAGGGCCAAGAAGTGAGCACAGCTAGGACAATGGTTCTCCTTTGCCCAGATCTTCTGAGGTTTTGCCACCAAGTAGAAATAGAGGCGAACATACTTCTCCTAGGAATACTTTAAAAAAGAAAAAAGAGCCAGGCATTGGTGGCCCGTGCCTGTAATCCTAGCTACTCAGGAGGCTGAGATCTGAGGATCACAGTTCAAGCCAGCCCAGGCAGTAAAGTCCGTGAGACTCTGATCTCCAATAAGCCACTAGAAAACCAGAAGTGGCGCTGTGGCTCAAGTGGTAGAGCGCTCGCCTTGAGCTGAAGAGCTGAGGGACAGCGCCCAGGCCCAGAGTTCAGGCCCCACAACTAACAACAACAACAAAAAGTTTCTGGAATGATACTTCAGACAGACAAGGAGATGTGAGTTCTTACTCTCTGAAGGCGTCTCCAGGAATGCTTTCATGCCTGGCATTTCTGCAACCTAACTCTGAACTTTAAAAAACAGAAACTCTGTTCTCTCTCACATCAACCCCTCCCCCAGACCTAAACTAAATGGAGAGAAGAAAGGAAAAAATAAAGTATTAGAAGATGGATAAGAAAGTATTTGCGTGAACATGCAGCAAAGTAGCTCAAGGCCTCAAGTAGCTAGGGCCTAGTACCTACATTTCAGGATTGATAAAGCAGGGAGCTGGGTACTAGTGTCTCATGCCTCTAAACTCTGTGACTCAGAAGGCTGAATCATCAAAGTCAGCCTGAGCAGAAAAAGTTTGAGACTCTTATCTCCAATGAACCATCAAAAAAGAAGTAGAGCTGTGGCTCTACTGTGGTAGAATTTCAGCTTTTAGTGGAAAATGCTAAGAGCACAAGGCCCTGAGTTCAAGCCCAGTATCCCCACACACAAAAAAGGAAGAAGAGGGGAAGACGGTGGAAGAGAGGGAGGGAAACAGCAAGGGAGGAGGGAGTCAGGCAGGCAGGCAGGCAGGCAGGCAGGCATGTATATACATGATCCTGTCCACCCACCCCACAGGGTTGAGCAGACCATGGCAGATATTAACGTAAACCTGACTCTTCCAAAGGTGGGTAAAGTATTGTGAAATGGTTAAGGGATGGGCCTCTGTCTTGTGGACTGGCCTACTTGGATGTATTTCTGTCCCTTGATCCTGACCCTATATCTTCCTTATTATCTTGCCTCTCACTCAAAATTCACTGGCAGGTTTATTAGTCATGCTATCAGATGAACTAACATGTGCAAACAAAGCCAAACCAAGTTTTCTTAAATTCCCTAAGATAACAGTTCAGTGCAAACACAGGCCAGCAGCAAAGGGTCTCTAATGAAGATGTGATCAGAACTCCCTCAAAGACATGCTCTGATTCTGTGTGAGGTCCGACCCCTGGCTTTGTGTCCATTTGCTGGAGAGAAATAGGTTCTCTAGAACTGTGAAGTAGCTTAGGTACACATCAAAATCAGGGTTGGAAGGAGAGCATGGATATTTATACCTGTTGATAGCTGGATCCAACACCCAGGGCTAGGGATGTAGCTCAGTGGTAGAGCACTTGCTACATTAGGTCATCATCTCCCAGCCCCCAGCATTTAGGGTAACTCCAGTCCCTACACCAAATGCCATTATTCTTCTATAATCTGTAATTCAGTAAAAGATGGGCACAGAAGATAAGGGGTTTGGGACCTCTCACACAGGAGGATCTGGCCCTTGTGTGATGTGCTTCAGAAGACACTGGCAAGGGATGGGCTGGGTAGCAAAGCAGCCCCATTATGCATCTGAGATACTCTCTCTTCCGGTGTAACCTTTTCCACACTGTCATACTCTGCTCATGAGAAAGGCACAGAGCATGGGCACACTACATTCAGGAACAATTGAAACATGTGCAGGAGCCCACAGGGAGAAAAAAAACTGGCCTTAAGCTGGGTGCCAGTGGCTCACTCACGCCTGTAATCCTAGCTACTGAGGAGGCTGAGATCTGAGGATCGCGATTCAAAGCCAGCCCGGGCAGGAAAGACCGTGAGACTCCTATCTCCAATAAACCACCAGAAAACTGGAAGTGGCACTGTAGCTCAAGTGGTAGAGCGCTCGCCTTGAGCTGAAAGACAGCACCCAGGCCCAGAGTTCAAGCCCCATGACCGACAAAAAAACAAACAAACAAACAAAAAAACTGGCCTTATAAGAATATCTGGTAAGAGACATGTGAGATCAAATTTTCCTGCTTCAAAAACTTTCAACTCAAGAGAGAATGAATAGAACCAGAGAATGCTACTGGAGAAACTTTCACAAAGGCTTACCAGCTTAAAAACACTCTCAGAAGGGCTGGGAATGTAGCTTAGTGGTAAAGTGCTTGCCTAGCATGCATGAAGCCCTGGGTTCAGTCCCTCAATACCACATAAACAGAAAAGGCCAGAAGTGGCGCTATGGCTAAAGTGGTAGAGTGCTAGCCTTGAGCAAAAGAAGCTCGGGGACAGTGCCCTGGCCCTGAGTTCAAGCCCCAGAACTAGGGGAGGCGGGGGGGAGGAGCACATTCCCGGAGTCACAACAAACCCAAACTACGTGAAGAACCACACATGTGTCATAGGCCATTTAGGAATTCAGCATCTGGCTGGGTAGTGCCATATTAATGGGATACTGAACAGAACTGTCCCCAGTTCTCAAGGCCCCGTGGGGGTGTGACCAACAAGATCAAATGCTGTTGGAACCCATTTTCCCCACTTGGGAAGGAAGACAAGCTAGAAGTCTAGCCATTACTCTATTCCTAACCAAGATTACCACCTCACCTTCAACCTCATCTCTAATCTTCATCAGGAAGTTTTCAGGAGAGTTTATTGAACTTTGAGATATGTCTTTTTCTTTTCTTTTCTTTTCTTTTTTTTTTTTTTTTTTTGGGGGGGGGGGGGAGGGTGGTCCGGTTGTGGGGCCTGAACTCTGGGCTTGGGTGCTGTCCCTCAGCTCTTCAGCTCAAGGTTAGCACTCTACCAATTGAGCCACAGCTCCAGTTCCAGCTTTTTTTCTTTTTGCTTATGTGGTGCTGAGGAATTGAACCCAGGGCCTCATGCATGCAAGGCAAGCATTCTACCACTGAGCCACCTTCCCAGCCCATGAGATAGGTCTTTCTTTTCCAGGAAGGTCAGACCTTTCCAGGAAAAACAAAACAAAGCAAAACCCCCCAAAAAACCTATATGATCTCACCACCTTGTGCAAACTCCCAACCTACACTGCATTGTGGACAGCTGCGGTAGCCCAGGACCAGGTCAGGACCGAGGCCCTGAGTGCCCAGGATGGAGATGGGGGTACAAGCACACAAGAGGGATGCTATGGATTAGATGAGTATCCATCTCCAGCTCAGCCAGTTCACATATCAACTTACCTGGAATGGGAGACAAAGTCATACACAGGGATCTGGACTGTTTTCCCTTCCGTGATTTCTTTGAGTGTTTTGAAGATGAGTTCATTGTCAAAGGCATCTGAAGAAAATTAGGTTGTGTAAATGTTTTCCCAACTAATATTTCCTATGATCACATACAAGACAATCCCAGAAACCGGTATTTGATATAAGCATATCACATCCTAAAGCAGCTTACTGCCCACCACCTTGCAAAACCAATCTCTACCCAAAGCAGAATACAAATGTTCCCTAGATCTTGAAATGGGATGTACAAATTAATTCCTCCTGACATTCCAACTCCTCCTTTTAAGTTCAGCTGTTGGCTTAGACTGGCACATGTTAGCCAGAATACCTGTTGCTGACAACTAGGGGAGGACATGCCCGGTGTGCTGGTGGCTCACGTCTGTAAGCCTAGCTGTTCAGAAGGCTGAGATCTGAAGCCACCCTGGGCAGTAAAGGCTATGAGACTCTTATCTCCAATTCACCATCAAAAAGACTCAAGTAGAGCTGTGACTCAAATGGTAGAGTGCCAGCCCTGAGTGAAAAGCTAAGCCCAAAGTTCAAGCTCTAGTCCTTGCAACCAAAATATGAAGGGTTGGCAACAATAATAAGGAACCCAAACCAGCTGAAGGAACACTGTATGGATCTGGCTGTCAGACACTCATTTAGGCAGCCATACTAAGCTCCACATCTCAAGATGATCAGTCTGTGAGCTGAGCACACACAAGCCAGCTTATACACAGGGCAAGGAGAGGTGATAGGCTACTACAGATTAGTGTGTGTGTTTGTGTATGTCTGTACATGTGTAAGTACATGTATGTGCACACTCACTCTCCTGGGGCTAGTCCATCTCAAGTTCCAAGTTCCCATAGGTCATCCTCTGTACTGACAATACTGAATAAGCCAAGTACTATATAGCATTCCAATAGATTCACACTACCCCTTCCATCTCCCAACACATATGCTCACAGGTGTGCACGCATACACATGCATGCACGCATGCACACATGCATACACAAAGTCAACTTCCCACTCACCGGGGTGATCAAAGTTGAACTGGCCCTTCAGAGCTTTGGCCTTCTGCTCCGAAGTGAGGACACGGTAGAAGCTATCCTGGCTCAGGATGACCACTTGCTTTTGGCGATAGTCCACCTCATTCTGCCCCAGGAGCTGTACAATCTTTGCACAAACTGAAGACTGTAAGGAGAGAAGAAGACACTGGGGAATAAGAGAAGGGGAGCGAGTGAGGGAAAAGGAAAATTTGGGGCTGTTAAGGTGGTACCCACTCCCTGACAAGGGCTGAAGGAAGCATTCATAGGCTGCTGTAACACAATAAATAGTCCTTATCCTGTTCAGCTTAGCACAAGTTACTACTCCTGAATGCTCCTGTCTCCAAAAGGTGGTAAAGCATTTAATTGTGCTGCTCTCAACTCCCATAAAAGCTTCCCCCAAAGCCACTGAGAAGGATAGTGCACTTACTCATTCTGCTGTGCCCTGGTGCAGACACACAAAAGGCACCAAAAAGCGGGAACAGGGTCCTGCTGATATTAGGCTAATGGACCAAAGGGCCATAAGAGCAAGAAGTTAACTGTGAGGCAGGAGGGGGTCATGAGGCAGAGGTAGTATTGCAAGTCCAAGGTTAACCTACAAAGCTAGTTCAAGGCCACTGTAAGTTCCATGGGGAAATGCTGTTTCAAAGAAACCAAGGGTTGGAACTGTAGGTTAGGGGGTTCCATCATCAACACTCCAAAAAACAAAGGGTGAATGTATCCATGGGACATCTAGAATCTGGCCCATCTATCAGTAGAATTGGAAAGCATAGCTAAAAGTGCAGCTAGTTAGAGGAAGCCAAGATGGCGGTTCCATCCTGGTTATTTCCACTCTGTCTATATACAGAAAACTGGGGCTCTTTCACAAATGTGGACCATTATGTATGAAGTGACTGACATAGGACACAAACATCATTAACATTTAAAGCAACTGTGAGGGTATCCTAGCAGAGCAAGGAGCCACATATCACCCTGATCCCTTGCCAAAAAAAAAAACAGTTTATGAAAGGAAAACTTAAGAAAAAGGAATACACAAGAATGAGATGATAGGGGCTGGGAAGGTGGCTCAGTGGTAGAGTGCTTGCCTTGCATGCATGAGGCCCTGGGTTCTATTCCTCAGCACCACATAAACAGAAAATGCTGGAAGTGGTGCTGTGGCTCAAGTGGTAGACCACTAGCCTTGAGCAAAAGAAGCTCAGGGACAGTGCCCAGCCCTGAGTTCAAGCCCCAGGACCCCCCCCCCCCCCAAAAAAATGAGATGACAGCGTATTTATGTACTCATTTCTTTTTTTTCATTTACAAATGACTCAAAAATGTATTAGAAAAACTCTAGAAGCCACATGTCAAGGCTTCTTATAAAATTTGATCTAATTATAAGAGATGAAAAATTCGCATCTTTCACAGAGTTTGGAGATCAAACTTAGAAAGCTTGCTATTATTGGGTTTTCTTTACCAACTGATTTTTTTAAATATAGGCAAAAATTGTTTTAAAGTTACAATTCACATGAAGTTCTTTGATTTGCTTGTACTTAAGAAAAACTGGTCATTCTTGCTATACTGGTCCATGCAAATTAAACTGTTTCACATAATATTCTCTATTACACAAGTTGTAACCAAAACCAAGGAAGAATATTTCAAGGCACAACATTTCCTCACAGTTGTTATATCTTTTGCTTTCATGACCCACTTACATATTAACCCATTTGAAATTATTTTGGACTGTGAGACTGAAAGTTTACTATAAAAAAAAGTCACATATAGGAAAATGAAACTCGCACAACTCTGCCTCAAACCAAAAAGTGCCAGGCATGGTGGTACATGCCTGTAGTCCTAGCAATTTGAGGAGACTGAGGAAGAAGGATCACCAGTTCAAGACTGGCCCAAGCTAAAACAGCATGATCCTGCCTCAAAAAGGGAAAAAGTAAAACAGCAACAAAAACTACAGCAAAACCAAAGGCTCTATAAAATTACAGACAATACGCCTGTAATTCCTTTTCCTAGATTAACATCTATTTCTTATACTCTATGGTTGTGGGAGCATAGAGTCTTTACCTGTAGCCTTTTAGTACACAGCATTCCTTCTAGAAGCCCAAAGAACAAAACAAAAAGAGGAATTAATGTAGCTAGTTGTATATTTTCTATATAGTTAGCTGAAATATTTTTGTTTGTTAAAACTCTTTAAATGTTTTTATATGAATAATAATCCCAACACAATTTTTTTGTTGTTGTTGTTGGTTGTGGGGCCTGAACTCTGGGCCTAGGCACTGTCCCTCAGCTCTTGCTCAGGGCTAGCGCTGTCTACCACTTCAGCCACAGCACCACTTCTGGCTTTTTCTGTTTATGTGGTGCTGAGGAATAGAACCCAGGGCCTCATGCATGCAAGGCAAGCACTCTACCACTGAGCCATCTTCCCAGCCCCAAGCTATGCTTTCTAATGATAATCTTATCTTTCAACCCAGATACAAACCAGAACAGCAGCCAGTAGTTCGGTGGCTACTGAAATTGAGCTAAGAAGGTAATAAGTAATACACTCCAGAAAGTTAAGCATTTAACGTAATTCTTTTTTTTTTGGTCGGTCGTGGGGCTTGAACTCTGGGCCTGGGCACTGTCCCTGAGCTCTTCAGCTCAAGGCGAGTGCTCTACCACTTGAGCTACAGAGCCACTTCCGGTTTTCTGGTGGTTTATTGGAGATAGGAGTCTCACGGTCTCTCCTGCTCGGGCTGGCTTTGAACCGCGATCCTCAGATCTCAGCCTCCGGAGTAGCTAGGATTACAGGCGTGAGCCACCAGCGCCCAGCTTAACGTAATTCTTGATCAAGGGTGAAATCCGGATATTGTCAGTAAGTCTATGTCTGCATTCAGTGTTCTCAAAGGCCTGGCTGGTGACCCTTTCCTTCCAGACACACCCCCAACAACAATCAGTACTGACACTGGCCCATGTCAAGTGCTTCAAGGATGATAAAACCAGGGTAAAGTGACTTGCTGCTGTCACCCAGTCCTCCTGCCCCATCTTGGCCTTAACCTGAAGGCAAAATGACCAAGTCCCAGACAGAAGAAATCCAGTCTAAGGAGATAAATAACACCACTACACACACACACACACACACACACACACACACACACACACACACAGATTGTTAAGGTTATTTCCTTCCTTTTGGTTCACGTTGTAAATGGGCCCTTAGATATCCAGATAAAGGTTAAATTGTATTCAGAAGGAAGCATGGAAGGAAGGGAGCAAGGGAGAGAGGGAGGGAGGAAGCCTTACTTAAAGCACATCTCTATCTCCTTCACTTTGTGTTCTCCATTCCACCAATCCTGCGCCCTCTTTGAAATGATAGGATGGTACTATCTTGTTCCCTTATGAAACAACTCACTAGTAGCTACAGGTGACAACCGTGAGCATACAGAAAGCTGAAAAGAAAGGGGGGGGGGGGGGGGATGGATGCAATTGCTTTTGGTGGGCTAAGACTTACGAAGTACCTTCATAGAGATTAAGTTTGATGGTGGCTGACTGGGACTGAGGGAAGGAAACATGGGGATCCGTTTAATGGACACCATTTATGTGGTACAAAGGTTCTAGAGATGGGGTTGTCCAACAATGTGTGAATGTGACCACATTTAACACTACTTAAAAATGTAAATTTGATCTCCAGTCCATCCATCCCTACCCAGCAAAAAAAAAAAAGAAAAAGACTGTCGTGGTGCGTGCCTGTAATTCTTTGCTCTGGAGGCAGAGGAAGGAAATTTGCAAGTTTGAGACCAGCCTGGGCTACACAGGGAGACCTTTTCTCATAAAGAAAAAACAAGCAGGGAGCTTGTGTCCTTCACCTGAAGGCAGTGCCTGTAATCCTACCTACTCAGAAGGCTGATTTCTGAGAATTATAGTTCAAAGCCAGCTAGCCCAAATAGGATCATATCCATGAGACTCTTTTCTCCAATTACTTACCCCCCCAAAACCCAAAAACCAAGGGCTCAAGGGATAGAGCACTGGCTGAAAAAACTCAGGTACAAGATCCAGGCCCTGAGTTCAAGCTCAGGACATTGGGGGGGGGGGGGGGGGGGATATCACGCAGATTTATTTCTCCCCTAGAGAGTAAATGACACTTAGGGAATCAATCACGCTAAATGACTCACTCAGCCACAGAGCCAAGTCTCAAACTACTGCTCTTCTAAACTGCAGGTGCACAATTCTGCTACTCCAGAGTGGAAGCAGGTCTGGGTGGGCAACCATGTGCTCCATCAATGTACTCCACTTCCAGAGAACCAAGGTGGGGAAGGGAGACAGCAGGAAAACATTCCCCCCCCCCCATCCTTGCATTTAGTCAACATTTAAATGAAAATGCTATAATAAAGGAGACAAGTGATTTACATATTTTTAAGCTGAAAGTTCATCTTTTAGAAGAATTGTTGTTGAAATTTTTGTTATCTTTGAAACAGTCTAGCTGTTAGAAGCCAGTAGCTGTGAGCCAAATAAGCCAGATGTGCTCAACAGTAGACTCCTTTTTCTCAGAGACTCCTGGGGAGCCCTGAGATTATCTCACAGAACTCTCCAGCTGGCAGCTCCCAAGGGGGCAGCTACCCACACAGGTTCCTGCAATGTTAGAAAGGCTTCTTCTCTAAAATCATCCTTACACGAAGATGGCTCTGACATCCCAGGCTCCACTCTGCTACCTCATTTCTAGTAAGCATGGCTTCCAGAATCTGCTTCTGGCCAGATCCCAGTATTGTCAGGTGAGTCAAACTGTAAGAAGAGCACTGGAGCGCTCAGCCTCAAGTCCTGTGTGCCACCTCCATGACTAGCTGGGAGCTTCAACAGGGCCCAAGGCTGACTGACTCAAGTATCTGCCCTGGCGAGGGGTACAAGGCTGCACCCCCAGAGAAATGGGGCATGTTTCATCAGCAGCCTCAAAGAAGATCCCAAACCAAGAGCCATGCTGCCCAACATCCCAGAATCCCACCTAGTTTGTCTGTGATGTTCTGGCTGAGCTGCTCCCAGAGAGAGGAGCAACTAGCAATGGCTCAGCCAAGCTTAGAGGAGCCAGTCAGCTCCTAGGGAGATCCACTGACTGACCACTTTCCCTACACACACTCTTTTCAATGGGCTTTAGACATCAGTGAACATCTACCCTGAATTCAACTGACCCCA